CAAGGAGCTTACAATCTAGTCAAAGAGACAAGGCATACTCACATACGCAATCAACGGACATCATGGCATGATAATGAAGTTAACCAGTCAGAGATCTCAGTAAAAGCAACAGAAACCAACTCTGGAAAACTAGCAAAAAAGCAAGTCAGGTAGTTCATGGAATTGCAAGGAGGGCCAGAGAACCAGGATGGAGGTCTCACACTAGGAACAACGCCCCAAATCACACCTCCGCCTTCATCCCTACACCTCACCGGACACAGGACACTGCCATTGGCACCTCTCCACTGCTGCCCTAGGAACTTGATCCTCCGACCCTTGTCACTCTCCCATCACCCCATCCCCACCTCATTCTCTCCTGGGCCAAAGTCTGGGAGATGGACAGATGAGCAGAGCCCAGCAGACAGCCCATGCTGTGGCTGCAAAGAAGGCTGTGAAAGTGAGTATCTCAAATTTTCAGATGCTACACTGGGATGTTGTTCTATCTCTGTCTAGACTCATAAAGTGGGGATTCCCAAACTCTAGGAAGGGGGTTTAGAACCTGGGAGATGAAAAAGAATGACAAACATCTACCACAGAAAGTATTCAAATGCTCAGGACTGAAAGGAACAGTATATAGTAAGGTACCGATTGTTCAGTTAAAAAAAAAAAAGTTAAAAAAAACAAAGATCACTGCAAATGATTTCATCAGGGAAGTATAAATTAGTTAAAGAATGGGCAAAAAATGAGTGCAAAGAGCATCACAGGAGAGAGAAACACAGATAACAGACTTATAAAGATGGAAGGGCTTCGGAGGCCATCTGAGCCACCTTCCAACCACCACAGGAACCACCTTATGACCAGACACCAGATGGGGGAAGGCATGAGGAGGTGTCAGCATGGTCACAGGAGGACAATACAAATTCCATCCCCATCTATAAAGGAGAATCTCACCTCTTCCATATTTTCCCATTTATAAAAATGGCACTACTAATCCTCCAGGCTCATCTTTCATTCTTCTCCTTTCTTCTCTACTTTGCTCAGTTATCAACTTCTGTTGATACTTCTGAGATACTGCAAGTGATCTCTCCAATTTATCCTTCTCCGTTTTATCTTGTGCCTGGATTACCCAGAACTGCCTCCTAGATGATCTTCCAGCCTTCCATTTGCCCTTTCAAATTGTCCCACATATTACTATAAAACTGATTTTCCTAAAACTATCTTTACCAAGTTATTCCTCAGCTCAGGTGACTGTAATGACTTCCAACCGCTTACTGCATCAAGTCTGAACACATCCGCAGACAAAAGCTACTGTATCAACAAAAAGTATTGAACCCACTAACTTACAGATCCTCTATATTCATCACTTCTAACAATGAAGAAACCCAGTCATCCTCTTCTAACTAGTTTAAACCACTTGGATTCTACGATTCTATGTAAGCAAAACCCTTATTTCTAACAATTCCCCCTTGAATCTTTTCTGCAGCTAGGCATACCACACTGAAATGAGGATTTCTAGAAAGCGTCAGCTTTCCAAGGAATGTAGGAGTATACATCTCTAGAGCTTCCAAATTTGCACAAGCTGTTGCCTAGCTCTCCACTTTACATCTTTACCTCATTTCTCGTTACTTCCTTATTCGCAGCCTGTCCCCCGTCCCATGAGCACATTTCTTTTTGTTTTGCCTTCTGTCCTTACACACTTCCATTCCTTTCTTATTTACCGCATAATGAGTTACCTTTTCTAACAACTTGTTTTATTGATGTTACTTGTGACCTCATAAATAACACCAAGATAGTTCAGCCAACATCTACGCCATTAGCAAGCCTAAGGTATTGGCAGAGGAGAAAAGGAAATGAAAAAGAAAGGAAGAAGAAAAAACAAAAGAAAGAGGTGTGTCTCATCTAGTGTTGCTATAACAGAAATACCACAAGTGGGTGGCTTTAACAAACAGAAATTTATTTTCTCACAGTTTAGGAGGCTTGAAGTCCAAATTCAGGGCAACAGCTCTACAGGAAGGCCTTCTCTCTCTGTTGGCTCTGGGGGAAGGTCTTTGTTCTTTGGCCCCTTGGTGATCTTCATGTGGGGTGGCATCTATCTTCCCCCAGCTCTGTTTACTTGCTTGCTTGTTTAATCTCTTTTATATCTCAAAAGAGATGGATTTAAGACACACCCTACACTAATATTGTCTCATTAACATAACAAAGAAAACCCATTCCCAAATGGGATTATAATCACAGGTATAGGAGTTAGAATCACAACACATATTTTAGGGGGATACAATTCAATCCATAACAAGCTGGTAATGGGAAATAACAATAATAGCTACAATTATCAAGCTTACAATATGCCAGATACTTGCTACACATTACCTCTAATTCTAAAAACAACCTTGCAAGGTAAGTACTGCTACCCTCATTTTTAAAAGGAGAGATGGAGGGTTACACGTTAAATGACTCACCTGAGGCTATATGTCTAATGAGGGTCAGAGACGAGATTCCATCCCAGGTGAATTAGGCCCACCCCCTTGTCACTGAAGCACAACCTCCATAACAAAGAACAAGAAACAAAAAGAACGAAGTGGAGACATGTAAGGTTTTACCAACAATCTTCAAGTGCTACAAAAAATTAACAGTATCATTTGTTGCCAACAATGATCTAGAAATACCCATTAATTTTTCAGCAAGACAAAGTTTAAAATTTTCTCCTACCCTTTAGATAGCTGCTGTTGAGTTGACTCAGACTCATGGCAACCTCATGCACAACAGAACAAAATGCTGCCCAGTCCCTCATCATCCTCATAACCACCATCATGTTCAAGTCCATCATTGTGGCCATTGGGCCAATCCATCTCACCAAGGGTCTCCGTCTCCTTGCTGGCCCTCCACCTCACACAACATGATGTCCTCCCGCAGCAATTACCCCTCTCGATAATGTGTCCAAAGCAAGTGAGTCAGACAATGCTCTGTTGCGATCCATAAGGTTTTCACTGGCTAATTTTCAGAAGCAGATTGCCAGGTCTTTCTTCCTAGTCTGTCTCAGTCTGGGGCCCCTGTTGAAACCTCCACCATGGGTGACCCTGCTGGTACTTGAAACACTAGTGGCATAGCTTCCCGCATCACAGTAACACACAAACCACTACAGTTCAATAAACCGGCAGAAAGCAGTGGTGCTATCCTTACATGTCAGATACTTTCTATGTATTACCTCTATGCTACATAAACACACACAGAGAGCGACATGCACAGACGTGCACACTCACACATACACACACACCCTCCGTTGAAAAGCTCATCTTACAATTTACATCCTCCTCATCTTTACACATATGTCTGGGTTACATTTGTCCCTTTTTAGTTTTGATACATGTTAATCTTTGAAGGTTCTCTTTATTCTCCCCTTGAGCCTTAACTTTTCTTCATGTTTCTCGCTTCCTGATAGCTCTTTTAACATCAGCCTCACCCTTTCTTTTTTATCACCTCCCTCATTTCCTACACATTTCTCTTTAAGAGAATGTTGCACCTAGCAGGTTCTCAACACACTTATTTCGAGCTTTGTCTTTGTCTTCCTGTCTCCCTGATCATTACTCTTCCCCTACATCTAGTTCTCACCCGGCTCCCTCTTAATTGCCCATGTCCCTTTCATTAGTCCTCCTTGCTTCCTCACAAAATCCAACGGTCGTCCCATACACCTCTCACGCCTTTTCCCGCCTTTTTCTCCCAAGGTTCCACAGCTCGAGGACTCATTGTCTTCCTCCTGCATCCTCCAACCAACCCACAAGATAGCCTTGTTACCATGACGACAGAGCTACTCAAAGCTTAAGTCAAGGACCTGGTTGCCATGGCTCCCGCTTGTCCGCCTCCAACCCCGCCCGCGCGCCGTCCAGCGTTAGCGCCTGCGCAGTACGCAGCGCGCTGGGTCTCGGAACTCGGGCGGTACGAGGCGGGGCTTCAACCGAGAGGGAGGGAAAAAGGAGAAAGGATAAGAAGGGGAGGAGAGCTGGCGCCTACGGTGGCCGAAGAGGGACGCGCCGAGCCGGGGGCTGCAGGATGGTAGGCTGTGAGAAAAGGGAGGGGAGGGGGGAACTGAGGGGCGTGGGCTGCACCTGCGGGGGTCCTTGGGGGCCGCCCTCTGTATAAGCCGCTCTTTCTTCCCTGTCGTCCTCAGAGGCCCTCACTTATCTGGGCGGGTGGGCAAGGCGGCCTCGGAAGGAATTTCTGGGAATGGCATTCGAGAGGAGCGGGGAGGAGGCGCATTTGCTGGGCGAGAGGGGGCTGACTAGGGGACAGCGGCACCGGCGGGACCGGACTGAGCCAGGAGGAGCGGTCAGGTCTCGGTTCAAGGGGTTCCGACCCCTGCTGCAGGGAAGTCGCCCGATGCAAAGGGGCGCGGGGGTCTGTTCGTGGAGGGAGGGAGGGAGTAGGGGCCGCCGGTCATCCAGACCCTCCGTTCTCGAGCAGCCGGGAGAGGATCGGCGGCCGGTGGGGGAGACCGGGTGTGGGAGGGGAGAGTTTCCGGGTCCGAGGAGGGAACGTCCTGCCTCGGTGTATCGCCGTGCTCGCCTAGAGGCAGCAGTGAGGCGGGGAAGCGAAGTGGGCTTGAGGTTTTGCTTTCAGGGACCCAGGCTTTGGGCTGCGCGGCTCCGGTGCTCCTCGTTCTCCGCCCCCCTTCCCATTCTCTTTCCGGAACCCAGGCCTTCCGTCTTCCTGCTCGCCCCACCGCCCCCATCAAAGACGAGCACGGCGCCCTTGCGCACCTCCGTTTTTCTCCTGCCACACCAACACTACTTCCCCTTTCTTGCCACAGAAAAGCCTAGTTCTCTCCTGGCCTTGAATTCAGATTTATAGCCCACTGTGCCATACACCAAGGAGCCCTGGTGGCGCAGTGGTTAAGCGCTCGGCTGCTAACCGAAAGGTCGGCAATTCGAACCCACCAGCCGCTTCCGTGGGAGAAAGATGTGGCAGTCTGCTTCCGTAAAGATTTACAGTCTTGGAAACCTTGTGGGTCAGTTCTGCTCTTTGTCCTATAAGGGTCGCTATGAGTCGGAATCAACTCGACAGCAGCAGCGGGTTTGGTATGGTTTGGTGCCATACACCCAGGCATTCCAGACACCCGGTATTGTACACGGAAAGGAGAGCTGCTGGGAGGAGGAGATGACTCTGGGATGTGGCAAGGCTCCCCTGGAACTAGGAAGCTGGACGTGCACTGGTAGTGAGGGCTCTGCACTCCTCCCCACTCCACCCACCTTGCTCTGAGTGCCACAAACATTCCCAGGTGGCTGTGCCCTAACTCAGGGACCCAAAGAGCGATTGATCACCTGGGATCTGAGAATAGGCGTTAAGCAGGAGGCAGCCCTAAAAGGAAGAAACACTAAGAAATCAAGAGGCCAAATACCTGGATGTCTGTGCAGAGAAGAAGGAGGACTTTAGGGATCCCAATACTATGTGCCAACATGGAGAAGGATACCAGAGCAAAGGACTGGTCCTCGAGGGCAGGGTGTTTGGGACATCAGAAGGGACTCATGGCTAGAATGGGGTGGAGAGTTGAGGTAGCTTCTTGAGGGACAAAATACCCAGTTTCACGGTGGTGATGGACAGAAGGAACATGGAAAATACCAACCATCTCTTTAACTTCAGCTAGGGGCTTCTTGTGACGATGCTGGGCATTTTACTTATCTTTGGAAAACAGGGTTATGAAACAGGAGGTCAGGGGATAATAATTATAGTACTTAACATTTTGCAGTGCTTACCATGTGCCATGCACTGTTGCATAAACCAACTCATTTCATCCTTCCTAACAACTTTGTAAGGTAGGCACTTTATGATCTCCACTTTACAGGTAAGGAAATGGAGGTAGAGACATAAAGTAATTTACTCAAGTCCATACCAAATAGTAGGGTCAGGACTTCAGGACAAATGATAGACTGAGAAGCTCGGACTTCCCCTAGAGGGACAGGCACCTACTGGTGGGAATACCAGCATTGACAGCAAGGGGCTGGAATTTTTAAGAAAGTAGGAGCTGGAGTGGAGAAGAGTTAGACGGGGTGAGTTTGGGACTGTGTGTTTGTGGAGGAAAGACGCTCAGAGGACCAAATCTCTAACCCTCATCTCTGTCCCCCCTCCCCACCAGATGCGATTTATGCTGCTGTTCAGCCGGCAGGGGAAGCTGCGGCTGCAAAAATGGTACCTGGCCACATCTGACAAGGAGCGGAAGAAGATGGTTCGGGAGCTTATGCAGGTTGTTCTGGCTCGAAAGCCCAAGATGTGCAGCTTCCTGGAATGGAGGGACCTCAAAGTTGTCTATAAGAGGTGACGCCTCACCTACTGTCGAACCTGCCTGGATCCTGTTTGATTGGAGTTTGACAATGGGTTGAAGAGAGGGGATACTGAGAAATAAGGGGCTCCTTAGGTCAAGGAGAGCTGGGAACTAAGGACATATCTGGAGGTCAGTGATTAACTCCAGCTTCCCTTACTGCCAAAGTCCCCTTGAAGAAACTTGTTCCCTACTTGGTTTTGTTCAAGCACATACCTCTGTCCCTAGAGGCCCCATCTGGTCCACTGTGAATATCCCTTGCAGTCTCATTCAACAGCCATCGATCCTACCCCACTTTTCCCAACACACGACACACATACCTTTTCCCGTTCCTTCTTTAAGCAGGTGAATTAGCGGCTCATTTTTTGCTGAGTCAAACTGAACAGGTCAGAGTGCAAGAAAGAAAAAAAAGCATGTGTCTTTGCCTGCGTGTGTGAGAGAGCACTAGAAGCAGAGTGAGCTACCCTGCCTGTGTCTAGTGGAGGCGCAGACTCGGGGCTGGGAATGAGGGGAAATGGGAGGTTTAGGTTCAGAATGCCCTCAACTCAGCAACTATGCCTCATGTGCCCCTCTCCCCAGATATGCCAGCCTCTACTTCTGCTGCGCCATCGAAGGCCAGGACAATGAGCTCATCACACTGGAGCTGATCCATCGATATGTGGAGCTCCTGGACAAATACTTTGGCAGTGTAAGTCTCCCCACTCACCCATTACCTTACCCAGCAATCTCCCCTTGCTGCCAAATGCTGGGGCCCTTCTAGCCTCTGCCCTGGAAGACTTGGGAAGGGTGAAGTTGGAGCAGCAAGCACAATAATTAATCTCCCTTTTTAAGCCTTAAGCCTATTAGCCATGCACCTTAATCAGCCCCGGGGAGGGGGAGGAGGGGGGAGGCTTGGACCAGAATCTGTCACTTAATCTCCACATAAAGCTCAGCTCAGACTTCTCACACAAGGCCAGAGGCTGTGTTCAAATCTTTATCAGAGGTTCCCGACCTTGGCTACATATCGGAATCTTCTAGAGAACTTTTTGAAAATATTGATGCCCACCAAGATTCTGAATTACCACATCTAGGGTATAACCTGGGCATCAGCAGACAGCTCAGATCGTAGCTGGGAATAGTAATAACTCCATAATTTGTACTCCATTTAACGATTTCCAGAGTGCTTGCACGTCGTTCTCTTGTTTGCTCTTCCCTCCATCTTAGGAGTGGGTGTTGTTATCTCCATTTTCAGATGAGAAAACTAGGCTCAGAGACATTAAATGACGTATACAGCTAGCTGGATAGTGGCACAGCCCTGCTTGAAACTCAAGTCTTCCACCCAGTTGTCCAGAATCTCCTCTTCCTCTGGTGGGAACAGTGTTGCAGATTTTAGGGGGAAGGCAACAGGAGCCACAGACAAGGGTAAACTAGGACGACTGGTACTTCATGATCATGAAGAAAGAGGCAAGCGAAGGAAAAGAAAAAGCAGAACCGACTACTGAGGACGGGGGGTTGGGAGGACTAGGACCTGGGGCAAGAACCCAAAGTGGGAAGAATGGTCGTGAGAAAAGAAGTGGGGGGCTGGGGTAGAGGTAGGGGTGGAACACACCTTGTCACTCAACTTTGCCTTTTCCCCTTCCTCCCCAGGTGTGCGAGCTGGACATCATCTTCAACTTTGAAAAGGCCTACTTCATCTTGGATGAGTTTTTGATGGGAGGTGATGTCCAGGATACCTCCAAGAAGAGTGTGCTGAAGGCTATCGAGCAGGCAGACCTGCTGCAGGAGGTAGGGACCAGCGATAGTGAGCAAGAGGAAGAGCACGGTGGTGGAGGGTGCCCCCCCTCCCCTGGATACCCTGCCTACCGGTGACAGCTGCCCCCTTCCCACTACCACTACTAGGGTGGCCTCCCTGCCTGTGGCGCCTCCCCCGCTCCACCTCCTACTCAAGCCCTGACCATATGGGGTGGGAGGTAGGGGTGGCAGACAACCTGCCCGTGCCAGTTCTCCTCTCAATCCAGGCTCTGTCCTTCTCCCAAGACCCAGGTGCCTTGTCCCCATCCAAGTCTTTTTTGTTCCACACTTCTTGTGGTATCAAGGGTTGCTCAGAAAATTGGAGAAGGGAACGCATACGTGGTAGATAGCTCTTTTCCCTGGTTTCTTCTCCATTTCTTTTTTTTTTTTTTTTCACACACACATACTCAAAAGCCTCTGCTTCTTAGGAGCAAAAGGCTGTGGGGATTTGGGGGCTGGAGTAGAGGATGCCCGCTCTGCTGGTTCTCCCTGCTATCTGCCCCCTACTCGCCCTCACTGCCTGCCCCCTCTCTGCAGTGCCACTGCTGAGACTTGGTGCAGGGAGGTGAGTCACCGGAATCTGCAGTGACGAGCAAGCCAGCCTGAGCTGGCTGTGAGGAGGGGGAGAGCCGGGGGGGGGGGGCTTCTCTCTGCAGGAGGAAAGGCAGAGATGAACTTGCCACCTCACTGGTCCAGCTTCCCTGTCTCTGCCTCTGTCTCTCTCTCTCTCACACACACACCCACACACACATGCCCTGGCACACATGCCCACCCCTGTTACTAGTGCTTTTCTCAGACCCAAATGACTCATCCCTCTATGGCCTGGTTCACCTTCCCTTGGGGACCTGAAGCCAACCTCTTACTCCCCACCCCACACTCTGAGAGGGAAGACCCAACCATCTGCCACCTCCCATTCCCCAGAAAGCAGTCCCAGCTTCACCCCTGCTCCCTTCCCTCAGGTACTGAGGCTGAGCCCCTGCTCACCCAGCTCTGGGCTTTGGGTTCTCTGGGTGATGATGGTCTGACCCCAGGCCCCTGCCCTGCCACTGTTGGCTCTGGGGGGTTGTCCTGGGAGGCCGACAGGCTCCCCTCAGGGGCTCGCAGCTGATCCAGCCTCGGCTCACGGGGCTCACGTTGACTTCTCTCTCCCCTTCCCCGTGTCTCCTCTGCTTCCCCACTCTGACTCCTTCCTCATGATTGCTGTTGTCTTGGCTACCCCCGCTCTCCTCCTCCCTGTCTGCCTCTCCTGGTGTCTCTGCGTCACCCCCTCTGTCCTGCCTTAGGAGGATGAGTCCCCGCGCAGTGTGCTGGAGGAGATGGGTCTGGCGTAACCCCGGCATGTGGTGACGTGGGGCTGGTGGAGAGGCAGGGCGTAAGCGGCTGCTTCTCATCTCTCCAGGCCCTTTTCTTGGTGGGACCCAGCTGTCCCTCCTCTGCTGCCTCGCCTCCTTTTGGAGTGAGCTACAGGCTCAGGACCCTCAAACATTCCCTCCTTCCGCCCCCTACCTCCTGTTTTCCCTTTTCCCACCCAAGGCTGAAGGAGCTAGGAGGTAGGAAATTGTGATTGAGATGAGGGTGCTCTTTGGATTTTATTTCCTGCCTTTGAAGAACTTCCGCAGACTTCCTCCCCTCCCTTACAACTGTAAATATATAAATACGTCAGGTTAAAGGGAAACGGTTTTCAGGGCTCTTCTCTTTCCCCTGCCCCCGTAACCTACCTCCACCCCCTTCCACCAGCCAGCCAGCGAAGTTTCTCTGCCTGGGGCTGGGGCTGCTCTGTAGGGAGAGGGAAGGCCTTGCCCTCATCTGCCCCCTCTCTCTGTGGCTGCAGTGGGACCTGTGTCCAGTGCCGGCAGAGGAGCAACAGAGTTAATTTTTTTCTAACCTTGCCACCTTAGGGAAGGAAGAGTTGGGGGAAGGGAGAGCTTTGTGGGAGACTGGGCCCTGTCCCCCCTCCCTCCATGTTCTGGATGAGGCAGGAGCTAAGGGGGGTGGGCTGGGGGAAGTGTCTGACCTTATTTCTTCTGAAATAAAAGGAAAAACATTTCTGGACTTTGCCTTTCTTGGACTCTGTGGAGGAAGGCAGGACTACTGGGATCAGTCAGGAGGCAAAGCGAACATTGCCCATTCACCTCTTCCCCCAAAAGTATTGCCAAATTTAGTTTAAAAAAAAAAAAGATACCCAGTTAAATTTGAATTTCAAGTGAACGGTAAATAATTTTCTTAGTATAGGTGTGTCCCTTGCAATATTTGGGACACATTTATACTAAAACCTTATTCATGTATTTTATCTGGCAACCCTTCCCCAGACAGATTTGTGTGCTCAGTGCTTCTCCAACCACGCTGCCTCCAGCTCCCTGAGCTGCCTTCACCAGGAAGGAGCAATTCCTCAAGAGGTGGTTTCATGCCTTTTGTGTTTCTTTGTAGAAGATTTCATTCACCCAGTATTTGATCTGGGGAGGGGAATCAGTAGTTCAAGGATATATCCCACCCCCTATGCTTAGAAAAGCGTTGAGAAGGGGCTAAAACCAGGATGTTTGGCTGTCAACCCCTCCTCTCCATATTTCTTGTCAAGTACATAGGACCAAGGAATTTAGGGATTAGTGAAGGGAGGGGGGAAGAGGAGGTGGACCAGGGGCAGTGGAGAGGTTACCCTGATATGCCCAAGTGGACCTGCCCAAGTGGTCCAGGGCTCACAGAATGAAGAGCCTCCCTGGTGGCTCTGCATCTCTTTGCCAAGTCCTGGGGAAAGGTATCTTTTTAACTCCTACTCTGCCCCCTCAGCTGAAAGTGGAATTTAGGATTCTGAACGGGCGTGAGCTGTATGCTACCCCTAAATACCGAATAAAGTGATTCTACCCCTCAACTCTGATTTGACTGGGGGTAGGAGGCAAGAGACTGGTGGTGTGGCTGGCGCTTCTCTCACCGCCCCTTGTGAAGGACCACGCAGGCCCAAGGGGATGGGTGAATAACCGAGAACAAAGTCCTAATAAAATAGTCACTTTTATTTTTTAGCAAAACTATTTCCTCCGTGAGGGGTATTTACAACAGAGAAGGAAAAGAAGGTAAATTCACAGCGATCTGGAGAGGGTGGGGAGGTTTGTGGGAGGCCCACAGGGAGGAGACAGACACACTTCTTCACACAACTAACTGGAACTGCTTTTTCCGGTTTCGGACAGGACGTCCCAACAGGGATAAGGTGGGGACCGGGCCCCTTCTGGGGGAAGGGATTCGCATAAACCACCCGCCAGCCCGCTTGGGCTGGCCTCAGGTCACCTGCGAGTGAGTTTGGGAGCTGGGGTCTTGAATCCCAGAGGTATGACAGGTCTTGGCACAGCCCTGGGGCGGGGCTCGGCCGGCGGGCAAAGGAGGAAGGGTGGGAGCGGGGCCAGGAGGCGGCCGAGGGGCGGGACCAGGGCGCATGCAAACATCCAGAGGGGAGAGGAGCGACACGGAGGGGGAACTGCGGTACACGGGGCCGGGGTGGGTCACGGGCGCCGGAGCAGTACATGCTCAATATAATTCTCCAGCTCCTCCTGCTCCTGCAGCCGGCGCTCCTCTGCCTCCGCCTCCTCTTGCGCGCGCCGAGCCTGAGCCTCCCGGCCGAGATAGTGGCGCGGAGGCGGCAGGGCGTGGTGATAGTGGCGGCGGCGCGAGGAGGCGGGTGGCTGCAGTGTCCGCGGCCGGATGTAGTTGGGAAAAGGGTGATAGGGGCCCGGAGAAAACACCTCGTCCTCCTCCCGATCCCAGGGCGGGAGCACCTCGTTCCAGTCGGGCAGCTCGTCTTGAGCGGGCGCGGGGACAGGGGGCGGGGGCTGCGGGGAGCGGACATGGGTAGGGGCGGGCGCGGTACGGGGGGGCGGTACAGGCTCTGGAGGGGCGTTCTTCTTCCGCTTCCGCTTCTCTTCCACCTCCTCGATGATGCTGACCACGTCGTCAGCTGGCAGGTGTAGTTTGGTGGACAGCTCAATGAGGCTATCGATAGTCTGTGGATCCATCTCTTCGTCGTCGTCCTCCTCCTCTCCGCCCTCCTCTGCCCCCTCAGCCTCCTTCCGCCGGTGGCCCGGCGTCTCTTCCTGTGAGCGCTTGTCCTCGGCCCCAGCTTCCCCGTCCTCCTCCTCGGCGAAAAGTAGCGCGTTCTGCCGCGCCCTCTCCGCCTCCTCCGCCTCCGCCTCGGCCTCTGCCGCCTCCTCATCCTCTTCCTCCTCCCTCTCCTCCCCGCCGTGCCTCTCCTGCTCCGCTTCCTCCTCCTCCCTCTGGCTCTCCTGCTCCTCCTCCTCCTGCAGCCCCCGACCCCCAAGGCCGCGCTGCCTGGCCCCGCCCTGCAGCAAATACTGGAGCAGCAAGTCGGAGGCGAGGTCGGCCAGCCGCTCCTCCTGCGCCGCGGCCTGCCGCGTGGCCTCCGCCTGCCGCCGACCGGCCACTACCTGCGCCAGCCCTTGCTGTAAAAGGCGCTCCCCCGCCTCGGAGCTGCCCAGGAGTGAGCTCTCCGGCCGGCGCGCCTTGGGGAAAGGGGCTCCCGGGCCTTGGTACGCCTTGGACAGGGGTGCCAATGCCTCGGCCAGATGTGTTTTGGGGGAAGGCACTCCTTCCCCAAACTGGTGGGTTTCGGACAGGGACCCACTCTCGGGCATATGCGCCTGAAATTGCGGGGGGGCCGGGGGCGGCAGGGGCGCGCGCTCGGGGACGCGCGCCTGGAACTCTCCCCAGGAAGCACGCCACACGCGCTCCGGCCCGGGGCTCTCCAGATTGACTCTGGTCAGCGTGTGCGTGCGGGTTTCCGTCTCTGCTGCCGCCGTTTCTTGCTGGCGCTTGGCGTTGCTCGGACTGAAATCTCGCAGCTCCTGGAGCAGGGACGCTAGCGCCTCGAGCTCCTCGGAAGGGTAGCCCACCTCGGGACCACTCTCCTCCTGAGTCTGGGGGTGAGGCGGGACTGGGGGCGCTGGGGTCTCTGGAACTGGAAGGCTGTGGGTCTGGCTGCGCACGGTTTCGGTCAGCAGAGCTTCTGCTGCTTCTTCCTCTGGCCCCTGCTGGGACCCTCCGGGCGCCGGGGGCGAGGCCGGACGGTCGAGTGCCTGCAGCAGCACCGCGGCCAGCGCCCGGGGATCCACGCCCTGGAAAAGCTCTCCCTCGTCCTGAGTCTCGGAATTCCGAGCAGCTCGGACCTCTGAGGTGCTGCCATCCTTTAACCCAGACACCGCGTCCCCAGCTGCCGACTCTTTATGGTCAGAGCTGAAAGGAGGTGACTGCACCTCAGGGCGCCCCGGGGGCGCTGCTCCTAGTCCCTTGATCAATAGAAGGAAGCAGACGAGGGCGGAAGCCAGCAACTGGGGAGATTTCATGACCAAGGGGCTGCCGGAGACTGTAAAAAGAGAAAGGGTCAAAGAAAGGGGATTTCTGTAAGAATTCCCTACTCCTTAATTCTGCATTCCCTTCCCCCACCTTTAATCGGGAAATCCGGGGCTTCCCTGATGCCCCCAACCTTACCCAGAAGAGGAACGTTTAGGAGCAAAGGAGGAATAGTTTGTGCCGATCTCCAGAGTCGTGTAAATGGAAAAGGAACGCTCGCAACCCTCCCTTTTCCAGTTCTTCCTCGCCCCCTTCCCTGAGCCATCTCACTGCCAGCGCCCACGACTTAGCAGCAAGAATAAGGGGGGAAAATCTCTGCTCTCGCCCTACAGGACTCCCCAGATGGTGCGTGGGCGACTTCAGCAAGAGAAAAGCGGCAACTCCCCGTTTACCAGGAGCCCTTACCAGGGGCTCCCCGCTGTGTTTTCAATACCTCCATCCGGGAAGAGCGAGAACCCTCCCTCACGCCCACGGTTGCCGAGGGTTTGAGAGACGGACAGCGGAGTATTTACCAGCTGGTGTCTCAACGCTGGAGATGGAGAGGAGGCTCGGGGCGGGGTAGGGACAGGGGAAGATCGGGACGCGTCCGCCTTGGCTCCGGACGGTGGGTGGATGGGTTACGAGCGACGGTCGAAGTCTGACGTCCAGCAGGCTGGGCTCAGCTGCGTCCGTGCGGCTCCAGGCGACTCGCTAGCTCCGATTTCAGCACGCTGGACAGCGCCCGCGCCGCTGCTGCCTTATAAAGGGGAGCGCGCAGAGTCACGTGGGCGCGCCCCGCCCCACTGACGTCAATGTTCATTCATGGGGTAGCAGGCGGGCACCGTGAGGCGGGCGGGCGCCCAGCGATTGGAGAATCCGAACCTCCCTCGGCCCGCGCCTGCGCGCTCGGGCCTCGGGCTGGAGGGGCGTGCGCTAGCCGAGAGCCAGGGAAATGAATGAATGAATGAATGAATGAAATGCTGAGGCGGGCGGGGCAGGGGGCTATGAATGAATGAAGGAGGGACGAGGAGAAAAGGATGAATGAATGAATGGGAGAATGAATGGAAGGGTGGATGCAGAGGCCCTGGAAGGCGGGAAGGGTGGGTTACAGAACAACTTGGAGCTGCCAGAGCCAGCACCGCTGAGCAGAATAGGAAGGGGGCACTCCCAGCGTCTGACTGGGCACCAGTCGGAGATCCTCACTGGGGAGGGGGAAGATAAAGGCTCGAAAGTCGGGAAGGGGACCCAGCTGCCTAAATCCCAACCGCGCGGTCCTTGGGGAACACGCCCAAGGACGGCGTGAACCCGAGAAGGGACGGATCGGCGCGCCTGCGGGCGCTGTCCTCGGATCTGCGGTGCGGGGTGCCGGGGCAGATGGGTGGATCTCGCGGTTTTGGTAATCCCCATCGGAAAGGGTCAGAGTCGAGAGAGGGAGGGAAAAGACTGAGGATGTATGTGCTTTTGAGTCGTGTCTGTTCACGGCAGGTGCATGTCTGAAGAAAAAGGTGTATCTAGCCTTCTGTCCGGCTGACTGCCACGTACGTTGGCCCCCCGCTGTGCCCCTTTTTCAGCCCACCTCTCCCCACCCTCCTCCTGCTTCTTTCCCTCCCGCCGCTTCCCCCCGCCCCGAAGGACGTTTGGAGGGCGAGAACAGATCCGTGGGGAGGGGGTTGCGCAGGTGGTGATGGGGGGTGACTCAACTCCAGCTCTCCCCGCTGCTTAAAGAAGCTTTGAACACAGGGTGGGGGGCTGCAACGTCAGAGACCGACCTTCTCTTCCACCAGACCCTTCGTCCGTATCTCCTGCCAGAAGGGTTGGGGCTGGGGGCTTAGACAGCTAGAGGTTCCGGGGGTAAGGGGTGGGGGGCGATGACGCACAGATTGCGCAAAGAGAATCCATCAGCGAACCGGGTCCGGTGAAGGGAGACCAGCCGTGGGCGGGGGTAGGGGGGACGGAAATGGGGAGGGGGGCAGAAGAGTGGAGAGGTAAGCAAGGGGAGCAGCCACTGCAGGAATGAAGGGGAGGGAAGGAGGCTGGAGGGGGCTGCAGTGCAGGCAGAGAGCGGTGCGGGGGCGTGGGCAGGGAAAGGGGGGAGTGACAATGACACACACCAGACACACAAGAATTGCGGACACAGGGGCGCTTGTGGGCACACACAGGGCACCCGCGCCCTGAGAGTCAGGAAATCAAGACCAAGGCTGTCTGTCAGGGGCTCAGGGACACTTTGGAGTCAGTCTCTCTCCCCCTTCCTCATCTCTTCCTATCTATCTCATCCACTTCTCTCTCTCTGTCTCGCGCGCACACACACACACACACACACACACACACGCACACTCTCACGTGCTTTCCCTCTATAGCCAGCAGTGGCTTCTCGCTTCCATCAGTGGCTGGACTTTCCCAGAAGAAAGCCCATCAGCTCTGCGGGGAAAGAGGTGGGGAGGAGAGGAGAGAGAGGAAAGAGAAGGATGAGGCCAGGGGAGGGGGGCGGGGATCTGAAACAGGTAGAGGGAACTGGCTAAAGGAGGAAAAAAAAAACAAAACTGAGAACCAAGGTGACTGTGGAGAAGCCAAAGAAAGGAGGGAGAGGAGGGGGCAGGAGACCCTGCCGCAGTGCCTCGCACCCCCACACTGACTCTGCAGCCTCCCCCCCTTCTCCCTCCTGGCTCTCCTTTTTCTCCCCCTCCCCATCTCCATCTCCCCTTCACCTTCCCAGCCTGGTGACTGAGAGCCTGGTGGAATGGGGAGGGGGTCACGTTACCTTCCAGAGGAGGATGAATCAGAGGGAGAAGGCTCAGACATCTGGAGAGGGGGAGGGGAAGCCATCCAAGAGAGAAGGAAGCGGGGAGGGAGGGAGTCAGGAGGGCAGACTGAGAGGCTGATGGAGCTAAGACACAGAGACCAAATGAGAGATGAGGAGAGACAGGTACCTAGAGAAACTGTACGCCTGTGTGTTTGCGTGGGTGCACACGTACCTGAGCGTGCATATCCATGCATGTGTGTTTGTGTGTTTGTGTGTATACAGAGATTAAAAGATACCGGGGAAAGAGAAAGGGAATGGGAGGGGGCAACTGTGTGTTTAATCAGATAAAGAGTGGATGGGGATGGCAGGGTTTCCAAAGGAAACAGGACAATTTCCTCCCATTTGTGTGGCTGTCTTTTAGCCTGTTTCTAGGTGTCTGGGTGTAAGTGTGTTTGTGTTCTTGTCCCTTCTAAGTGCCTGTATACCTGTCTGGCTAGGAGTTTTTGAGTGCACCCAGTCCTTAGCATCTGCTGGTGGGTCTGAAAAGTGTCTGAAAAGCCTGGCTTGGTGCGTAGTTAATGTGTGTGAGTATGGATGTGTGTAGATGATTGTGTTCCTCCCTTGATGTGTGTCTTTGCGCATTTATCTGGATCCTTCCATGCCTGCCAGTATAAATTGGTGGTTATTTGTACTTCCATGTGCCTTTGCCCCCATTCACCTCTATTTCTAGATCCTTGTGCAATACAACCTCAGTATTCAAGCCTCTCAGAGCCCCCAAGTTCTGGATCCCCCCCTTGTCTCCAGAGATCTCCCCCAGTCTTCCATTCTTCCCCAACCCCCACCCACCCTTCCCTCCTTCCACCCAGCTCCGGAGGCCCAGGGGAACTTCCCAGAAATAGACATCTCAAGAGCCTCAGCTATCATGGGGTGGGGGGAAGAAGAGGGGAGCCAAGTGGAAGCCTGGGGCACCAAAGGCAATAGGCTTGGTGATTCCACAATCTAGATCTTGTTGCCTCATGCCTGCAAGATCTATGGATCTCTGGGTCTGCTTCTGTCTCTCTCCATCCATTTCCTACCTGAATCAGCTTATTCACCCACGCCCATCTCGCTAGGATATACTGTGCCCTTCATACCCTGCTGCCTCTAGGGGCTTCTGGGAAAAAGCTGGACTGGGGGCATGTTCCTAGGATTGGGAGAGAGGAGGGAGATGGCAGGAAAGAAAGAGAAATAGAGAGAGAGATCTGGAAAACGGAGAGCTGAGATGGGGCCTGGAGGGGATGCCTGGTGTTCGCTCTGAGTTGTTTGCATGAATCCATCTTTCTTTGTCTTTGTTTCTGAATCTCCCATACTCTCCAGGAGGGTAGCAGAAGAAGATGGGGTCCAGAAGAGTAATGATCTAAGCTGAAGCTTTGGAAAACCCCAGGGAGGGAGGCAGAGCACTGGGTCTTTTCTCTGAGAAGGGCTGGGAGAGAAAGAGAGGGCAGGGGCTTGGGGCCCCCCCGCATCTCATCATCCCCCCTTTTCCCTCCCCCCCACCGGTGACTCACCTCTGCAGCCTTTCATTGCGTCAGCGCTGGGGGGGACAAGCAGGGAGGGGACACTTTATGAGAGGAGTAGGGGTCTCCACTTTGAACTATAAGAAGGTGCTGAAGCCCCCCCCTGAAAATGGCCCCATTAGAATGCATTCTTGCCCTAGTCCCCGTCCACCCCAGTTCTGTAGGATGAGGAGTCGTGGGGAGAGGGCTGGGGGCAGTTGGTGGGTCCCGGAAACAAGATGAGTGGCAGGAAGGGGGTGCTCACCCTGGTTGTCAGTCCTGGGGTTCCATTCCCTCAGACCCCCCACCCACTCATGAGTGGGGGAGGGGAGACCCAGCAAGCCGGGGGAGGGCAACGCCGCAGAGATGAGTCACCAAGAAAGGGAGGGAGAGAAATAGACAGAGATGGGGAGAGACACAAAGAGAGACAGCTACTGGAGAGACTGAGAAAGGAAAATGTGCCCACACACCATGAAGGTGGTGTCCACAAACTAACCACAGCAGGGAAATGGTGTGCTGAACCGGCCTCTCCAACAGCAACCTGCCAAACACACTCAGTACACTATCGTACAGTTACACTGCTTCTGAGACACACCCACTTGCACAAACACAATGTCATAGCTAGCCTGCCAGAGTCTCCCAGACCCATGCTGAGGATGTGACCAGGGGAATGGAGATTCTCAGTGACAGCCCTCATTCCTTTTACGAGGTGGCGGGAGGGGATCAAAACCCTCAAGGAATGCGACTTGAAAAATCCAAGACGCGGTTTCTGGGACTCACAGGCTGCGCTATGCACACTCGACGATACACACAAGCCACCTGCCTCCCCATCCACACGTACATAGTAACATATCAAGCATCGTCCTCATAAAAAACAAAAAAACACTTTGAGTTCCTGCTTCTGGGATACACCAGGCACGTTGTTCCGAATACCTCCCACCCTAACACCCTCTGCCTCGTACACACATGGACAGAAACGCAGACACACAAAGACGCCCATGGACACACTCACACGGACGGAAACCACCTTGCGCTGCCTCGCCCGCGTCAGCACATGTCCTGGCGCCCCCGCGTGTTACTTTTCGGGAGCGCAGTCTCCGCCGCTCCGGAGCTGGCTCCCGGGGGTGGAGCCCAGGCTCCCTCCTTCCCTACTCCCCTCCCCAACGCTTGGTGCCCATCCCGGAATGGGGAAAGCGAGCGCGGCTGGCCATGGGCGAGTCAAGAGCTGCGAGTTAGACGTCTGGATCCTGGGGCTGAGGGAGGTTAGTCCTGGATGTCAAGTGAAACTTGGGAGAGTGGCGAAGAACTTACAGGATTTGGATAGCAGCAGACTCCCAGGTCTAGGAGAAAGCGAGGCCCGGGGCTAGCCAGGGAGCCTCTGCTCTGAGCTGCTGCTTCTTTCTGCGCTTGGCTAGGGTGGGGGTGGGGGCGCACAACGGCCAGCAACCCTCCTTCGTCCCCCCACCCCCAGGAAGTCATTAGCCCCATTGCCACGGGGCTTAGAGATCTTCTCTAATACAGGCTGCTCTTGAAGGGGGAAGGATGATGCGTCTCAACCCTCCCCATTGAGAAGAAGTGAAACAGACACAGAGGGTGATCAAAGGGTCCATTTTATTGCAATACAGCCATGGTCGAAGTAACAGGGAGAGTGGCAGCAGGGACGGTCACAGGAGGCAGTAAAGGCAGAGCAGCACAGCTGCCAACGGGAACTGGGGAAAGTGGTGAAACAGTGGCTGTTCTTTTTGCCTACCTTTTTCTACCTCCTGGCGCCCTCCTCTGACCACTTTCTGAATTCCATTCCCAGCTAGCCCTGTGCTAGCTGTCAAGGAATCCCTAACAACCGTCCATTGTCTAACAAGAAGTTCATTGTCACACAGAGTGAGGCCCTGGGGCATGTTCTGGGCGTAGGAAACGTGGGTTCTAGTCCCTGTGAAGTCCCCAGCTTCTAGAGTGACTTAGAAGTCACTTTGATCTTTCTGAGCCCCTGTTTGAAAATCCAGTATAGGAAACAGTGCTATGCAAACGCAGCTGTTACTAGCATTTAAATAGAAGCTCTCAAAGTCAAAGAGCATCGATGATCCAAAGGAAGGGAGAAGAGTCCAGAAATATCTGGAGTTGGGGATTCCAGTCGCACTAGCAGGCAGCCTAGTTTGAACCAAGAGACAGTCCCCACCCTGAGCTGAGAGACCTGCCCTACACTGCACCAAACTCTCCAGCCAGAACCCCCTGGTGGTTTTAGGAGTGTGGGAGAGTGGGCCTGTGAGATAGCAACATCACGCAAAGTTGGAGGAACCTCCCAGCCAGACGGGCAGGCTCAGAAAGGCTCATGACCAGAGTGTAAACAGGGGACCGAGTGGCGGGGTATTATGTATTTCATTTACAAGATCTTTCAGTATTGCATACAGGGCGGAGGATGACATCACGGGAAGGAAAAAGAAAACGCAGAGAAACGGGCAGTGAGGAGCTAAGTGTGCGAGAGGCCCAGGAAGGAGTGAGGACAGACAGGAGCGGGGAGAGGAGGCACAGGAGGCTGTGGGGAGGAGAGGAGCGCTGGGAAAACTCTCAGGGCTTGAGAAAGGGCAGGAGGAAGAAAAGTAACTTTTATTGAGAGGCGGAGCTCCAGGCGGGTGCTGGGCGTTGCACACACTTCTCCCCGCTCCCACCAAGAGGAGGCAGAAGGGAAAAGCAGGGAGAAGCCAGGAAGGGCAGAGTTCACTCCCAGGCCAGAGCGACAGGCTGGGATAGGCTCTCAATCCTGTGAAGGACCCGCTCTTTGGCGGGAAAAGGGAGAGGGTGGACAATAGCAGCACAAGGAATTCCCCTAAATCTGGCAGTCCAGGTCAGGGTGTGGGCCACGGCGGCTCGGGGCGCCCAAGGCAAGATGGCGAACAGAGAGGACCCGAGAAGGGAAGGGTGGGAAGAGGAGAAGGGTCTTGGGGAGGCGCGGGTGTCAGAGCTCGCGCCTGAGGGCAGAGGGGGAGGGCGGAGCTTGGAAATGGCAGGGGGCGGGGTTGGCTGGGGATCTGACGAAGCCCGCCAGTCTGAAGTGCATCTTCCCGGGAGTCGGAAGGCCTCAGATGTCGGCCTCCAGCAAGTACTGTTCCGTGTAACCCTTGACTAGCTCGAGCCCCAGGCCGGCCTGGCAGAAGTCGGCCAGTTGTGGCCACAGCTGGGGCGCCAGAAACAGCTGACACATGACGTTGAGGCCGGCGAGGCGCGGGGCCTGGCGCTGCAAGTGCCACAGGAGCTGGCTCTGCACCTGCGCGCCATCGCTACCGAAGGCGTTTATGTTGAGGTAGCGCCACGTGCCGTCGCCGCCGTGCGGGATGGGGAAGGGGCGCAGGCACAGCGTGAGCACTCTCGGGCGCGCGCGGCTGTCCACGCGCCACTCCAGGCCCTTGGCCGCCAGCAGGCTCAGGTTGCTCTCGCTCGGCCGGTAGGGCTGCCAGTCCTGGATGATGGTCCCTCCCGGAAGCACGTCGCGCTGCACCAAAGGCGACAGCAGGAGGCGCGCCATGTCGCCGCCTGCCTCGGACACGGCCTCGATAGGCAAGGGCGAGAAAGTGCCAGAGGCCCGCAGCGCCGCCAGCCGCGTGCCCAGCCGCGCCAGCGGCGCCGACGAGTTGAATCGGACCAAAAGGATGCCCTGCGGGGGGCACGAGTGAGCGCGGGAGCGGGCGGTGGGAGGGTGGCGTGCCCGCGCCTCTCGGCTTCTTCACTACCACACTCACACGCCAACAGGCTCCCACCTGGCCCCTCGGGAGAACTGACCCGTGCTAGGCAGAGTGGGGTATGTAAAAGTCTGGGTCTCCGAGGGTAGCACAGCATGGAGGGACGAGGAGCAAGGGGTCCGAATGCCTGGATCCCCAAGGAGAGGCGAGATCAGTGTGGAGTAGCTAGGGGACTGAGGGTGTGGGCAGCAAGAGAAGGCAGATTAATCCGTAGGGTGGGTGGGATGAAATGCGGTTGCTTAAGTTCCTGAAGAGAGGCCAGATCGATGTGGGGAGGCAGGGTCACGGAAGTCCGGACCCCTGGGTTCTCCAGTCCCCTAGAGTAGCAAAGACTGAGGGTTTGAGGGCTGGGGGTCAGGAGCTGTTTGGTTGCCGCCGGGCAGAAGGGCCTGGGTGAAGACTGCGAGTCCCCAAGGCATAGCTCATGGGCCCCTCAACTCCGTAGGGCCGGGAGATGAAGCCCGTGATTCGCTGGGCGCGGGGAGGGCGCCTGAATGCCCAAGGGGAGAGGACCGGCCATCGGAGCTCCCTTGTCCTTCTCACCTGCTTGGTGATTAGGCGGTATTTCTTCAGCTCCCGGGGGCCCAGCTGGTCGTCCCGGGTAAGCCGTGCCACCTTGACCCCCAGGTGCTGTCGCTTGACCACTTGCGAGCAGAAGCGCTGCAGCAACCCCGCCACGCCCTTGCCGCGCTCCCAGGGCGCCACGCGCAGCCCCTCCACCAGCGCCGTCTCCCCGGCGTCGATCACGTGCACCGACTCCAGTGCGATCTGCGGACCGAGGCCGTTAGGGGGCCCCCTCCCCGCCTCCACACAGCCAGGGCTCTCTGGCTCACAGGGCTTGCCTCTTCCCACACGCTGAGCACTCCGTCGTCACCACCTCGGGCGCCAGACCAGGACTGTAGGCCTGCCCAGGGAGCGCTCCTCAGCGCTTGCGTCTCGGGTTCCAGAGCGGGCAGAACGTCATTCGCTAGGGTCTCTTACACCTCTTGAGATGCTCCAGCTCAGCGAGTGCACCAAGTCCCTGACCGCTAGCCACGCACCCTTGCCTTGGCTCCGCCCTCAGGAGTTTACTACGCTCCCTCGTACTGGCCACCGTACCTGCCACACCGCCAGCAGTTCCTAAAGCTCGTCCAGCTCTCCCATCCACCTCCTCTTTACGCTAAAGATCCGTTGGCTCCGGGGGTCCTTATTCCACTCTAGCTGCTCCCACCTCAGCCTACCCCCAGCACATTGCCTGCCCCCATTTTTGTGCTCCAACCCCCAGAAACTCCTCACACGGGTCCTCAAGCGCCAAAGCTCTCACCTAGCCGGGTTCCTCCGCTTTTTGGAGTTCTCCACGTCCCCTCACTCCACCCTTAGTGGCCTAGCCCCTGGATCCACACGCCCATCTGCTTTGGTGCCAAAGCAGATTCTATATCCTCAGCAACCAGAAGAGAAGAGGCTCCCCTCTCCAACCTAAGATCCACGCACCCCCATTTGCTTTATGCCCTTTTCATCATGGCCCTGCCCACCAGCTCTCACCACTCCTCCATTGCGCTTGGCCAGCACGACCGTGCTGTCGGGATCCTGGAACCAGCTGTGGTAGCGGCTGGGAAGGTAGTCGAGGCCGCGGTAGATGCCCAGAGATGGCCAGAACCTCCTCAAACTCCCGTTCAGCGGCCACCACGAAGTCCAACGGCTGGGCCCCAGCCTCAGGCCCCAGTCTGGACCTGGGCTTGGCCTTGGCCTCAGGTCCTGACTTGGCCTCCAGGGGCTCGGCCTCAGCCTCAAGTCCTGGTCCGGACTTGGGTTTGGCCCCCAGGGACTTGGCCTTGGCTTCAGGCCCTGACTCGCCTTCTAGGGCCTCGGCCTGAGCCTCAAGCCGGGATCTGGACCTAGACTCGGCCCCTGCCTCCTGTGACCAGGTCTTCGAGCTCAGCTCCACATCTGGCACAGCCTCCTTTTCGGGCTTAGGGACTTCTGGAGTGACTATCCCACAAACAGCTTTCAGCTTCATTACCCTGCAGAAAAGAGAGCGCCCAGCAGGAAGATCATAGTCCCCCTCCCCTCCTTTCCACATCTGGCCCCCTACACACGAACACCTGGCCTCCTCACAACCCCTTCCTACACAAACATTCCTGCTCTCCTGCTCTCCACACAGACCCTAGGAGTGAAGGGTCTCCAGCCCTCTTCCCACAAAATCCATCTCCCAAGTTACCTACTCATATGGGAGAGATCCCCTTCTTTCTCCTGCCAGCTCCCAGAGATTCAACCCCACCTGCTCCTTCCTCACCAGTCATAAATATAAACTCAAGAACCCCTCAGTGAGCTTCTCAGAGACTAGCTCAGAACTCCTCCATGCCGAGTCATCAACCAGGGGGACTCAAAGGAGAGAAGCCCTCTGGAGTGGAGTTAAAAATGGAAGGACACTCCCTCGAGGGCCCCACTACTTCCCCAAGACCTCTGCCAAGGACAACATGAGAAAGAAAGCCCATCGTCACCACTCTCCCTACAAAAGGATTCCCCAGAGAAGAGGGTTCAACCCACCCTTCCTGTCACTGCCACTTATTCCAGGGCAAAGGAGGGTGGAGGTAAAGCCCATATCTCCTCCACATTGCTGCCCCAGTAGCCCGTCCAACCCCCTGACACACATACACAAACATAAGCCAAAGGAGTGGACAGATGGGCAGCTCCATTAGAAAATTGCAGGTCCTTCTTCCCAGGCCAATAAAAACCACCCCTTCCTTCCTTCTTGAGTCTTCCCACCACTTCCCCATTGAGAGACTTGGACTCCACTCCAGGGCTAGGTGGTCATTTTGAAAAGGGGGAGAGAAGAGAGCTCTGTTGGAACCCCAGAAAATAAAATGTCCACCAAGATCACCCCAACTCCTTTCTCCATTTACCTCCCCTTCAAAGATGGATTCCCTTCTCTATTCCCTTGGTTCCTTTTTAAAATCTATTCCTGTAATCCTTGCCCCATCTCCCACTCAGGATTGTCCTGTTGACTCCTTATTTCCAGAACTCTCTCCCCCAGACCAACCAAATCAAGCAATCAAATCCCTCCTCCTCCTTGTCTTTCAAACAATCATACTGCTCCCCTCTCATAACCTACTTTAAGTCTCATTAATCAATATCCCAGGGGACACATACACCGCTACTCTGTGGTGGTGGTATTGACTGGACTTGTGTTTTACAAGAGCACTACCTAGTTTTGGGGGAGGGGATCAGTGGTGACACCAAGGGGTGGTTTAGGTTGGTTTTATGTTCCATGCCATAAACATAGCTTAAGTAAACACACGGTGCTTGCTATACAGACACAACGTCAAAATGGGAGCTCCATCTCCTCTTTATTTCAACCCGATTCGTATGCCTAAGACTGGGTGTGGTAAGACAGCATCACGGGGGCATTGGGAAGCAAAAGCTCAAAGGATTTTAGAGCCCCTGCTAGGGTCATTAGAGACCATGTGGTTCAACCCATTTCTTTCACAGTGAGGAAATTGAAGCCCAGGAAGGTTAAGAACCTAGCCCAAGGTAACACAGCTTGGGCAGAGCCTGGCTAAAAGTTAAGTTTCCCTGGCTTCCAGGCCAGTGGGGGATATCTTTTCTTGGTATATCTGGATTTCCAAACCCAGGCTGAGGAACCAGGACAGGAATTACTGGGTCCTTGATGGGACTCAAAGATCCCAGATCGGCTAATTGGAGGAACTCCCACTCTCCTCCCCATACTGTCAGTAAGCCTTATGCCATCATGCAGTCTCACAAATCTTGCCCAGCCCCAAGGCCACAGACTCCTTGCACCAGGCTCTGAGGATGATGGGTCCCAGAGATAAGCAGGTTAGCTTTCAGCTCTCATCTGCATCTACTGGCAACCTCACTAGCTGTCCATAGGTCCCAAAAATACAAGCTAGTAGTTCAGCGGTGACTCCAGCAATTTCCCACTCCCCTAAATAGGCAAGATGTGAGCAGCCTGAAGACTGGAAAGAATTCAACTAATTCAATAACTTATGCCCTAGTTGCCTCCCTTGCTTTCAGGATGGGGAAACTATTTCCAAAGGGTGTTTCTACATCTCAGATAAGATCGGAAGGGGGCAGGGGTTTCTCAGGGTCACAGGGAAGATGGAAGTGCTTGTCAATTCATCCCCATCTTTTCTTCTCCTACCCCATTCCCCCCTTTTTTTGGAGGGGGGGGGGGACAAGAAAAGATTACATGTCCTTAAAACCTGGGGGAGGTAGGTGCTGTGAATAAGGCAGGTCAGGGCTCCAGGCGAAGCTGAAGCTATGGACTGGCCCCACAACATTTCTCCCCAGTCTAACCACTTCTTCCCACACCCTAGCACAGTGCCCCCAACCTGGCTTCTTGGAACTATAAGTCCCATAAGGTGTCTAAGAGTCAGAGGCAGCCCCATCCTCCAGGGCACTGTGGGAGTTGTAGTTCAGGCATCTCCTGGACCAGGCTCCAGGAAGAGGGGCTGTACTCTCTTTCCACATCCCCACATCCTTGCGTCCACTCTTTCACGATCATAAATATGAGCCGGATCGCTCCAGCAGGGGTGATTGGAATCATCGCTGGGCATGCTGGGAGGCCGCCTGCCCTCACCCCCTTCCCACCTTACCTCACACACCTGAAATTGATGCCCTTGAGGCCGACAGCTTCTCGGAGCTGCGGGAGGGAATCAAGGGAGGGAAGGAAGCAAAGAGGCGGAGACAAAGAGAAGGCAGCTACACAAAGCGCTCAAAGATTAGAGCGAACACGACCGGAATGGAGGCGGCAAAGGAGACAAAGGCCGACTGGGAGATGCCGGCCAGAGGGGATGGGGGATCGGGAGGAGGCACCAACACCGACTCACAGACATCGACCCCTCGTGACTCCGGGCCCAGCAGATGCCAGAGAAATCATAGCATGCACCCCCTCCCCAGGGAGACCATAAATAGAAGACAGCGTGACACACCCCCCTTGTCCCCGGGGCGCGGGGTAGGGGGAGGGGCTAAGGGGAGGTGAAACCTAGAAAAGAGACTGGAAGAGGATACCTCGAGAACAGAGTTAGGGAGACAAGATGAAGTGGAGTGGGCTAGGAGGCCTCGGGGCAGTGATGGGACAAGAGAGATAGACCAACGAGCGGGGGGAAGGGGTATCCCAGAGGGCCACAACCGGGAAGGAGCGTGTCTGTGTCCCGGTTTAGGGTCTTCCCTCTGCCCCTTCTCCGGAGGGGTAGGGGAGGCAGGTGGGAGGGAGACTCCGGAGGAAGCTGTCCACTTGGTGAGGGTCCCCCTGGCTCCAGACTCTGGGGACAGGTGGGAGTGACATGGCGGCGGAAGTGGGGGCAGGGATGACAGGAAAGCTCATCTGGACACCTGAGGCGAAATCTCCATCTCAGTTATCTAGGTCACCGGACTGAGAAGGAGCCGGCCATAAGGGGTGCAGCCGCTTTCTTTCCCTGGGCGGAGGGGGCGGTGGCTGCCCCCAATCCGCAGTGGAAGGGCACCCCTGTCCCCCAGCTCCCAGGCCGGCGACCCCTACCTCGCCGGAGCCGGCGCCAGGGCCGAGATGCTGCGGCGCGGCGCGGGGCGGGCGGGCGCAGACAGCGAATGGTGCCGAGAGAGGGTTCACTTCCGAGCCCCCAGGGTCAAGTCAGGGAGTCGGCCGCACCGTCCGCGCCGGACTCTGAGTCGGAAAGGCAGGCTGGGCTGCGCTGTCGCTCGGCTCGGGGCGCCGGCTGTGCGTGTGGCTCCCGCATCGACGCTCAGGCTGGGCCGGGCGGCAGCTCCGAGGGGCGGAGACCCCAGCGCCGCGGAGGAAATCCGGGACGGATCTGGAGCGGGGTCCGGCTTGGGGGGGTGGCGGGGGGCAGGCAGCCGGTGCAGCCGGGTGGCCTGCAAGCTGTCCCGACAAGACTCCGCCCCCTTGTCCTGGCTGGAGAGCTGCAGTGAGGGGGTTGTCCTGGGTCTTGGTGGAGGGGGTGGCTGCCGGCCTGCTTATCGCCCCATCTCCCCAGCATCACTGTTCTCAGTCCTAGAGTCCCCACTGTCCCGAGGGCCCCCTCCTCCAGGGTCCGCTCTTTTCAACACGATCCCTTCTCTCCGGTCGTCACACAAGTAAACGTGGCTGGAAAGGGGCATCGGAGTCGATGCCCCTAGGTGATCCTGTCAGAGAAACTGACAGAGGAAATCGGAAACCGCAGACCGGGAAGCGAAGACATCAAGAGAGGAGCATCGAGACCAAAACCTGCGGTGCGAGAAGGAACAGGACAGCTTGGTCTTCTCCAACCACTCCCTGGAGTGCAGCGCAGCCTCGCCCTCCCCTCCCCCTGGCGCACAGCGCCTCTCAGCTCACCTGCACCCCGCTCACTTCTCGCCGGCTGTCAGGCAGCAAAGCCCCTGCGGGGCAGCACCCGTATACACTCGAGCGCGCGCACACAGAGACCTCTGCACACTCCACGCTCCTGGGGAGCTGCGCACACGAGGCTCAGCATCGCCTGCCAACCCCGATGGGTGGGAGAAAGGGTGGGAGCGAGAGCGGAAGCGTGGACCTGGGGCTTGAATCAGTGGAGCACTGCCCCGACTTTGATAAGCGGGCGGCCTAGGCTCTTAACTCCTGAGGGCTCCCGCCCCCACCTAGAAGGCGAGATAATAACACCTGTTGGTTCTACCCTGTGAGGAGCCACGGAAGGATGCCCGTGAAAGCGCTTTCATATCTATGAAGTGCTCCATAGATGCAGGGAATAATAATGTAGGCTGAGGATGGGACGCTCCCTTCCTCCTCCCTCCCTCTCCTCCCCCAAGGACCGCCTAGTTCTTGTGCTCTCCCCTCCCACCATACTTTATCAATATCTCATTGCATTTTTGTACTTTCAAGGGTGATACTTCCATAACCTAGTAAACTGATCTAATTGGATGTGTTAATATAATAAGATGGGAGATCATATTCCCGAAGTCCCACACACATAGCAACACCAGCATTAAGGGGATAAAAGTGCAGAGATGGAATTCTAGGTCCAGGTAGGCCAAAACAGTAACTGA